TTAGCCCCAACTAGACTTCCCCACCAGCTAAATTTAATGTTTCTTAAGGACCACTAGAGATCTCTGTCCGAAGCCCCAGAACCTTAAACCTGTTTTCTGTTCCCGAGCTGAGGCAACCCCTACCACCGGGGCTTCCTCCGCAACCTGTTTGTTCGGCTCTGCGGGGACATCGCCGACACCCCGGGCGGTGCAGAGCAGGTCTGAGGCAGCACCTCCAAACGCGCACCCTCTGGAAAAACTCTGGCGCTTCTGACGCCCGCTAAAACTTCAGACCTGAAATTTGGTTCAGCCCGTGCCGGAAACGCCGTTTCACACCGTTGCGCAGAAGAGGCCGCATAGTACCGATTTTCCTGTGAGCGGCCTCGAGAGATTGGGGGAGCAGTGGAAAAGGGGGAGTATTGGCTTATCCAGGAAATACGGGTCTGAGACCTGTAATAGCCCAACATGGCGTAGGGTTTGTTGGGCATCCCACGGGTTATTGGCGAGCAAATGTTGATCCTTGATGGGTTTCTGTGTGGGTAATGCTGGGTCCACACCCTGCAGGCTTCTGGATTTTCTTATGTCTCTGGGCGTTTGTGGATCAAAACGGGACCTTGGAGGCTTGATCAACTCCCCTTGTTTAGGATGACGTCTTCAGACCGCCAGGGCCCAAGCATTGTTTGAGGACAGCTTGCATTGGTTTCAAACTTCAAGCTCTAGGGATGCGCAATGGATCGGTCTACGTAAGGATTTTTTGCAATTGGAGGGAGGTCGGGGGGAAGGGAAGGGGGGTGTTGTTGTAATTGCTAAATAATAGGTCTTTCGGTTACGTGATCGATTAGCTACGAGATCGATTAGTCTGTCTCATTGTTCTAGAAGCAACTTTGCAAGTTTTGGCTTATTTCTCGTACAAAAATACAGAAGTGGGCGACATATGATTGCATGTTGAGTTAAACTGTTGCTTCAGGTATAATTGAAGCTGAAAAAAGGCCCACGACATGGTCGCAGTGGCAGTATAATTGTCGTCACAAGTAGAAGCCCTGGTAGCAGGTAGTAGTCGTAGTAGTAGTAGTAGTAGTAGTAGTAGTAGTAGTAGTGGTAGTAGTAGTAGTAGTAGTAGTAGTAGTAGTGGTAGTATTCGTGGTAGTAGTCGTGGTAGTAGTGGTAGTGGTAGTGGTAGTAATAGTAGTAGTAACAATTCCAACAACAGTGCTACTGAGAGGTAGTTGGTAGGGGGACGGCCTAAAACTAGTATTGGGGGAACCAGTGCAGGCCCCTGAAACCCTTGCCCTCATGTGCATAAAAAACGTGCGTTGAGGAGCTGTGCGGATGACAAAGCCTTGAACCCACTCAACTCTTCCCAGGCTGGATGCCTTCAAGACCATGGTCGCCTGACGGGTTTAGGGTTCGGGGTAAAGGGCTGCAGGGTTTTGGTATTGTTGGTTTCTGGCTGAAATTTTAGGTCGGGGTTCAGGTGCTGGGATAGAGGGGCTTCAGTTCATATTCCAGGCCGTTCGGCAAGTAGTACAGTCTTGTTTTTGGTTGCCATGTTTCAGGACTTTCGGGTTCTGGGTCCCAATCGAATGTTTGTGATGCTTGATCTCTTCCTGTGTTCCAACCCTTCAGGCGCAGGCTTCAAGCAGAACATTTTCAATTATTGAGCATCTGACTTCAAGTATTCCTGGAAAGACATCAGCTGACGGCGTCGGCTGCCAGTTGCTCTGGCCCCTAAACACCCAGTGATAGTTGTCACGCGGCCCTCGGTCCATTTCAATCGAAATCCCCCAGACCCGGGCAGCTTGTATAAAGCTGCAAAAGCCCAAACCACCTTTGCAGCTTGGAATGGGTTGCACCAAGAAAAGACCACAGCTTGCCGAGGCTCCCGATGATGGTCCGGAAGTTGAGGCAGGCTCCGCTGTGACTAAAAGGATCCCCAACTCCATTGGATTGGATTTCCTTCTTTCGGTTAAGGGTTTCTGGGTGGTTTAGGGTTTAGAGTTTTGCGAGTCTAGGAACCAGGCTGTAGGCTTGAGCAGGGTGCGGGAACTCTGATTCTACCCAGAAGACTTACTCTGATCAGGTGGGGATCAATACCTCGGACGGGGCAGGTTTCGGTCTGTCCGATTGGCCACAAAGCAACGACTCCAAACTCCGGTGTTTAGATTGGAGGCCCAAAGCAACTGGTAGCTGACGAGGTTCTCACATTCTGGGCATGATCATTATTGTAGGCACACCCGCCGGTATCAAAAGCCCGAGGTGGCTCACTAGGCCCCTCAATTTCCCACCTAAGGATCCCACCTAAGGATCAGGAGGCTTAACAAGTAGAGAGAGAACTGAGGCACCTGTGCGAAAAACTACTTACCGAGCACTACATGAAAATCCAAGCTTCGAGGGTATTTTTGACTGTTCCGGGGATTCACATAAACCCGAGACTGTGCCAGTAGGGTTTGCAGTGTTCGATTTTAGCTTTCAGAAATGTCGGAGTTTTTTTCAAGAACGTGGGCTGAGGGTTGCAGCTGCTCGGTTGAAAAGTGCGGTTCTTCTGGCCACGCCAAAACGAACGTCCGGGTGCTTCTCCCTTTGTCGGGAGTTTCGGTGTCTGAAGGGCAGTTGCTATGAATGCAAAAGGAGTTGAGCATGCGTATATAAACAGTGGTAGCAGACTAGGACATTTTGCATCCTAAGCCAACCATCCAACCAAACCACAGCTAAAGCTAAAGGCTTAGGGGTTAGGGTTTTGGCGATTGAAGCTTTGAGGTTCAAGGTTTGCTGTGACTCAACGGCCCCAGGCTTGAACTGTGTTCGTTTGGAATTCTGTGTTTTTGAATGCGGGTCCTGGATTTGGAGTGAGCGCTTGATAATCTAATTCAGGGCTCGATTCTCTAGGAGCTGAGCCCTGAACCTTTCCAATGCAGGGATGAACGGCAAGTGGGTCATGGCCAGGCCATGGCTTTACTTTCCGGGTCGAACTAGGGCTTCATTGTGGAAGTAACCGACCATGCTTCGTTGCGGGCTGTACGGAGTTTTTTTTGAATTGCATCGGTGTTCACAGTGCAGATCCGTGTTTCGATGGAATGTCGAGGTTCCGTCCTTCAGTGTCCGTGTCTACCCAAGAACGTGTGCATTCGGACAGTTGTGGGCAATACTGGTCCTGATGTGTTTTTTTTTGCCTCCCTGTGGCCGCTTCTGCTTCGGCGTCGTTTCCTTCACGACTAAACCAGGCAAGCTGTTTTCGCGCACTGCAGTGTTGTACACGCTAGGTGACTTAAATTTGTTGTAATGGCATTTCCTGAAAGCCCACACGTCATACCAACGCACTTGCTTTCACCTCATGTCGGCCCCTGGGATGTACCCAGGAGATGTCATTAAACTGTTGAGCTTGGGGACCGCAATGGCAAACTGTGGTGGTTGTTGTTCAGCAAACTTCTTGCCGATAATCTTGAACTTTTAGCCGCATCCCTCTGGCGAGTGAAGCATATGTAAAGCCTTTATTGGAGGAGCTACGGAAGCTCCGCTGCTTGGCTTTTGTTGGTGAGGTGAAGAGCGCATGGTGGCTTGGGCATCCGCTGCGGGTTCAAAATGAAAGATTGTGTCGTCTCATGCTGGTCTCTGCCGGAGTTTCGGGATAAAGTGGCAAAACTCCGCAGTTCAAAGGCAAGCGATTCGATGTGTTGAACTCAACGTATGAAAGCACGAGAGACCACACGGACAGTGAATTTTGCAGCACTGGGATTCTCATTTGACCGTGCTGCGCCTCAACCTGGGTTTGGAATACAAAATCGACAGCCGAGGTGACTGAGGGCATACTACTTTACTGGCGTGTCTTCATTTTAATCGGTAGGCTGTAGCTGAATCCGGCGTGAGCCGCGAAATCATCACCAGCACTGTGAGATTTCACGAGACGAGCCCAGGTGTCCCTTTGGACTGGTCGTTGCAGCAGCTTTGCCAGCAAGGGCGGTTTTCCGTACCGCAGACAATCTAGACACCTCGAAACCTCAGCCTTTCCGAAGTAGCTTTGACTTTTTGAAAGAAGTCTTGGCTTTTGGAAGCTAAGTTTGATTGAAGGATATTCCGTGCTGGGGGTGTCAATAAGAAGGGAACAAGTTTGATAAACTTTCACGTGCCTTCCATGCTGCAGGCACGGCAGCTGCCAAGCCACCAGTTCCAGCTGTTGCGACTGGCTGTGGCTTTTCGGTTGCAGCTGAGGCTTGAGATTATTTTTTGTTGCCCAAATCTTCGGATTCGGAAACCTCCTTGGCACGGGATGTTCACGGCAAGAAGCGTTGTAGGGTTTGGTGGCTTGAGATCTCTAAAGAGCGGACCGGCAGCCCTGAGAGAAGTAAATATCACAGGGCAGTATTGCTCTCAGAGAGTCGAAAGAATCGATTCAAGTGTCAGTGTCACTCCTGTTTTTGCAAGCTTGAGCCTGAATAGTTCGACTTCATAAAGAGGCAGCTGTGAGCTGGTCCAAGCAGGTGCAAGCGATAGCCGTCCAAGTGGACACGCATAGAGTGAGATGCAGAGATGTTAGAGAATCGTGCAGCGAAGCAGAAAGATCTAGGATTTGAGTGGCCTGTGAACCCCTCACCATGAAGGCCCCACAAGTTCGTGTTACCCCCAGCGTATCTACCTGGGACTGTAGCATACACCCTGAAGCTGAGGTGGGAATCCGGGTCAGCACATGCGAAGTGCGCAATGGTTTGGAAAAAAGTCACGCCCGGTACGACAGGTTGGTGGCAGTTTACTTATGTGAAGTTTTGTCCATAGCCTGTTCCGGCGACGCCACATGCGTGCTATGTCCCCTGCCACTGGACATAGCAAGCCCTTGATAAGCACAGATTGTTTGCACGATTTAGTGTTTCGACTTCAATCTTTCCGCCTCCTCTTCGTGCCTGGAAGGCCTGCGAAACAATCCGCACATGCGCCCTCCCGCAGCTGCAGCGCTCAAGCGTAGCAGCATTAGGACGCCCAGCGGCGAGGGACCAAATTTAGAGCTCCCGCCAAAATTTTTAGGACTAGCCATGGCATCCAGCAAGGCCGGAGCGTTTCGTACGGACTTGATCCAGGGTTCCTTGGTTCTAAATCCCCGACATCGGAATTAGGTCACAACGTTTTATGATACCAGGAACCCTTGTAAGAAGGGCGTCGTTCATAATTCGGGAGCTGCAAGCAGCCCTCCATGTGTTACCGTCTTCTTGACAAATCCTGTACGAAGATTGGAGCTCGCAACCCAAATCACAGCAGATGCCTTGTCGGTAGCTGTGCTGTCTTAGCGGCCCTGATCTGGGGCTTTGTCTTCAAACTACCTGGTTTAGGACGTTCGGGTTTGGGTCTCAACAGCTGCTTTGGAGATCGTGTTGTGCACAGATTCAAGCAATCAGTTTGTTTCTTGTATCTTCTTTCACATTTGAGCTGGTTTCCCCGACTTCCTTGCTGCTGACCTTCACGGCAAAATAGCTCCAACAGAAAGCAGGAGCAAACAGAAAGCCCGGTTTTTTAGCAGACAAATTCACACAAGCTTGCAAGCTAGTCTAAGTCTAGTTCTTGGGTTGCCACCGTGAAAACACCGTCGCACATTCAGTTCTGATGAGCGACGACAGGGCTGATTGTGAGGTGGATGGGGTGGTGGAGATGGATAAGGATGCCGAGTATCAAGCTGCCACCGTGGCTAAAAGCGGTGTGTGCGAACTGCTTCAGGAAACAGTTGTAGACTAGAACTTCCTAAACTCGAAAACCCTAAACCCTCAAACTCTAAGCTTTAAAACGATAACACAAACCCTCCTAGCTCCCAACCCTCCGACTGCGACCGCGACCGCAGATGACGCTTTGTGGGCTGGGCCTTGCTGGCGTCCTCGGAGGCTTGAGCCCACAGCTGCTTTCGTTTAAGGGTTTAGGGTTTAGGGTTCAGGAGTCTTAGGGTTTGGGGGGTTTAGGTTTTAGGGTTGATGATTGGTTTCAGGACTTGGGTTTTCGGGTTTTTGATGCAGGGTTGCAGTTTGGGACATGCTCATGTTGAGAGTTTTTGCGCATGATCTTCGTGCAGCTTTGGGTGTCTCCTCGTTTCCGGGGAGATGCTCGAGCAGAATGAAAATCGGATGGTACCCGACGGCATGGAAAGTCGGCATTCCGATGACCTAAACCCTAAACCCTAAACCCTGTTTAGCCTACAGCCATGAAGTGGGGCAGCCGCGGGGCCTGTGTAGCAGTAAAAGCCCCTCGAGTCAAAGACCCTGCTAGAATTCAAGCTTAAATTCAAAGGCACAGAGGTCCAAATTAGAACGTTCGGCTTAGGAGCCCTTCCGTTGATGTTGTATGAGTGAGGCTTTGAAGAATTTTTCGGCTGAAGAACTTCGCACTGTGCTTTGGAGGCGCAGCCTTCGTCGCCCCGCGTGCCGGGCCAAGCAGCACCGCAGCGACGTCGTTGCGGCGGGGGAATCAGGCGATCTTTGCATCCCGAAAGCCGTTTGCTCATGAAATCTCTTGGGTCCTATCACCCCAAATCCCACACCATCAACCCAAATACCCTAAACCCTGACACCAGGAAAGGCCCAGAATGCCCCTCTGCGCCCCAGGGCTTCCGGATTTTTGGGGATTCAACATCAAAGCTGAAGTAAGTAGACTAAGGACTCAGGTAAGACCAGGATTCAGGCATCCGTCCCTTGATTCCCTTCAGTTGTGGTTGACTGCTGAGGGTTGGCGATCCAGGAGCTCGGGTTTTCTGGGAGTCTCGTGGGGTTTACCAGGTGTTTCAGGGGCTTAGGCCCTAGGCTGAAGCTTCTAAACCCTAAACCCTAAACCCTAAACCCTAAACCCTAAACCCTAAATAAACCCTTTAGGGTTTCCTAGAATCCAGAAGTCTCCGGCGCGACCCTCGGTCGGAGACAGCATGCTCAAGGGCTCCAAAGCAACAGAAAGCACCTCAGCACGAGCCCCCTTGTGTTTCACATGAATCACTGGCTCAAGCACCAACCAACACCAACACCATGTCCAACACCATCACCAACACCTATCCATCACCATCATCATCCTCATTTTTGTCCTCGTCCTCGTCCTCGTCCTCAACCTCGTCCTGCTCCTCCTGCTCATCCTCATCCTCATCCTCTTCTTTATCCTCATCCTCCTCCTCCTCATCATCATCTTCATCACCGCTGCATCGACTTGCTGTCCTTGCGCAACGAATGTATCCACCATTTTGATTGGCCAGTGCGGGCTACTGTTAGTTTCTCTCGTGAAGCTGTGGCCCAGGCCGCGCAGCCAAGTGGCGTGGCGTCTACTGCAGCAGCTGGCTGTGCCGCGGCCGCCGGCGTCGTCCTGGCCAGCCAGGCGAGGACTGGATGCCCCCAAACTCCAAAAGCTCTTTGAGGAGTTTTGGACCAGGGCGTGAAGATGCCTGGAGCTTCGGGGTGCTCTTGAAGGGACCTAGCTTCTAGTGGAAGTTTGTTTTGGGTTTGGGGATCCCTGACGGCTTGGGTTCAATTGGGCTCGTAGCCACAAGCCCCAAACCCTGTAGACCTGAACCCTGACCCTGAACTGCGTGCCCGTCAGCCCTACCCCCTGCTAAAACGTCAGCAAAGCCTGAAATGCATAACCCTGGTCGGCGTCGGGGTCATGCTCACGTTTGTGATTGCAATCACAGTCGTGATCGCCGTCCGCCGCTGCCGCCGCCGCCACGGTCGTCGTCGTCGTCGTCGTCGTCGTCGTCGTCGTCGTCGACTTTTCGTTGCTGTGGTGGGGGCTGCTCCTGCTGCTGCTCCCTCTGCTGCTGCTGCTGCTGCTGCTGCTGCTGCTGCTGCTACTGGCGGCGGCGGCCGTGGAGGCGCTGGTGGCGGAGGCGCTAGCGGTGCAGGCGCTGGTGGATGCGCTGCTGGTGGATGCGGTGGTGGATGCGCTGGCAGTGGATGCGCTGGCGCGCTGACGGTGGATGCGCGCCGGGGGTGGCGGCGGTGACGGCAGTGATGGTGCTTGTGGTGACGGGGGCAGTGGCGGTGCCTTTGGAGGTTATTCCTGATGTTTGTTCCTCAACGCTTTTGGTGCTTTTTCTGTCATGGGGAAGAGGGCTGGTTGTTTGATAGTTACATAGCTCAAACCGACTTGTCGACCAAGCCTGTGCGCCATCGCAGGTCAGAAAAGCGCAGGCGGAATGGGAGTGGAGATGGGTTCCTTCGGGGTATGTTTTCTGCTACGTTCCTTCTGCCTCTGAGGTCTTTGCGTTTACAGTGTCTCGTGAATTAGCTCGAAGCTCTCAATCCTCAGCCCTCTGGCGTGTGCGCTTCCGTCCTGTGAACTACGTCCAAACCAGATGTTCAGTATCTCTTAGCCCGGTGTTAAGTCTTGGCCTTTCGAGTGTAGAGACTTCTGTTCAAGAATTACCTCAGTCTGACTGCATCGCCTCTTCCGGCCCTGTGCATTGTTACTCCAATTGCACTAGTTCGCTCGCCACTGCTGAGCTGCTGGAGGTTCCACAAGTCTTGCAAGAGTATGGTTCACAGACGGTTTTGGAGTTTGGGCGTATAGCAGCCGATCAGGGCACTTAGGAAGGAAGGCTTGGATTGGGGTAAGGTAAGAAACTTGGGTCATCGCACGTGCATCGTACCCGCTGTCTGATCTTCGGAAGTACGGTCCCAGTTTCCCTTCAGTTGCCTGGCTGGCTTAGCTACGAATTCGGGTGATTCGTCAGTTGTGCTATTCGCGGGTTAGGCGAAAGAAGTTGAGCGTCTGTTTCCTGAAGATAGGGTTCTCCGGGGAGCTCGAAACTTTTTTTGTGGTCCTATAAGCAGCTGAGAAACAGAGAGTTGCTGCTGCAATGATGCAAGCTGCGAGGCTTCTGCGTCCAAGTTCACGACAGCCCTCCGTGCTTTTGAGCAGGCCCGCGGACTTCAAGTTCTTGTTGAGTTTTGGCACCAAGAGTTTGGCCCCAAGAATTTCAACATTGTGTGAGGAGGACAGGGCTTTAAGTCTTGGGATTGGTGGTTTCGGCGCTTGGTTTGTCTTGGTCCCTTGAAACAAGGACGGCATTGCGGGCCAACTACGGCCCGAATCCTAAACTAAAGCCCCAAAAGCCCAAACCCGAAAGCCTGAAATTTCAATTTCTGCAGATCCTACAACTCCAAATCCGAAACCCGAAATCCCAAAGCCCGACACTTCAAACCCCGCACGTCCCAAGTCCCCGAGTCCCCAAAAAACTCTGAGATCTTAGGGTTTAGGGTTTAGGGTTTAGGGTTTAGGGTTTAGGGTTTAGGGTTTAGGGTCCATGAAATGTAGACTCTTTTCTTTGGAGTTCAGCCCACCCATCTGGATCTTATGGTTGGGATGGCCTGAAACCTCAAATCCCAAAGATCCGAAAGCCTCGCCCCAGGAGCTGGGTGTGCAGGCTCCAGTCGGCTTCTGGGATCCGCCACTTGGGCCAAGAAAGGGGGGGAATTTCGGGCCTCAGGCTAAGCTTCAGGTTTCGGGCTCCCCGCTAAGGTTTTGGGTTTAGGCTTCAGGGGCTTTCGGGATGGTGGACTCGAAGTGTTAACATCTGGGTCTCTAGTGATTCCGACAGTTTCAGAAGCAGGGGTTTGGGCTTTGGAGTTTCAGAATTTTGGCCCTCGTGTGGTGTTTCTTTGCAGTTCAGCTCAGGGTCTAGCGCTATGGTTTCGGACTCAGATTTAATGGTTTTGAGATGGGGGGTTTTGGGTTTAGTGGTTGACGGGTTTTGGGTTCGGGGGTTTTCAGGTTTCAGTTTCAAGCCCAAACCTAACCCTGCCTTTGTGATGTCCTTCATGTTCTGAGCCCGAGTGTTCAAAGTTTTCTATCGCTTCGAGAGTCAGTTCTTAGGGTTTCCGGGCCTGGATCCTCTTCGAAACGGTAAACCCTAAACCCTAAACCCTAAACCCTAAACCCTAAACCCTAAACCCTAAACCCTAAACCCTAAACCCCAAACCCTAAAGTCCTCAGCGCCGCGGAAGGCTGGGCCTTGCTAGGGATGGTGACGTGGAGGCCTTCATGCGCAGGCCGGGCTCGGGGTCGACAGGGTGGGAGTTTTCCGGATTGCTGGGCTTGTGGGGATTCGGATGTAAGGGGTTTAGGGTTTAGGGTTTAGGGTTTAGGGTTTAGGGTTTAGGGTTTAGGGTTTAGGGGAGTTTCCGAAAATTAGTAGTGTACCTTATTTTGGAGTCCTTATAATAAGGATCCTACTACTTCGGGTACTATATCAGGGTCCCCTATTTTCGGAAACCCCCACGTAAGAGTTGCGAGGATTTCCAGTTGAGGGTGTAGGATTTCGGCTTGCAAGGCGTCCCGTAGTTTAGTGTTAGGGTGTTCAAGAAGTGAGCTTCAACAAGTAGCAGCTACTTGTACGGCCCCTTTATACACAAACTCGTTTGAGCCATCCCCAAAGCAGCATTATGGAAAGGATCCAGAGCCTCTATGACCTACATCCTAGACCCTGAAACCCTACAATCCAAGGCCCCAAACGCTGAAACCCGAAATCCAACAAGGCCCTCAACTCTCTAAGCCCTGATTCCTAAAACTCTACGGTTTCGAGCCCTTCGGGCGCCCTGCAGAAAAGGAGTTCATAAACCAAAAGCCCACGCTCCCAAAGGAGCTTTAATAAAAGCCTCCTAAACCTTAAGCAAAGCTCTTCGAACCCTAGCAATTTTCAGGCGATCCGTAGAATTGAAGCATGGCCGCATCGCGATGCTGGCAACCATGGGCCACTTGAGACGAGAGATCGGGGGGATTTTTGTGGGTTTTTGGGGTTTAGGGTCTTTTTAGGGGGCAAGAGGCACTGGGACCTGACCTCTTTAAACTTTTGAAATGCCAGCTTGTCGAAGGAAGTTGACGGCCCCAGACGTCGCATAAGTTGAGGAGCGTACACGGCCACTTGACGGGGTAGCCAGAATCCTAATGCGTGAGCTGAGTTGAGCTGGGATAGTCTCGCTGCAGCATTTCTGAAGCAATGGCTACATCGTTTCGTTCAGTGCTCAAGGTTTCGGCGACTTGATACAACCAGCTGTGGTATTGAAAGGCCTCAACGCGTCATGATGCGTCGATACGCATAGAACGCCGATATTTGTAGCCGAAGGGTTTACGATCATGACACACTGCAACACCCTAGACCCATGGTTTGCAAGGCTATATCACCCCGGAGATCGCCGGCAAGTTCCCAGGCGCGGACCTCTGAGAATGGGATGGATCGTGTTGTTTGTCGTGTAGGCACTGGTGACGCTTTTGCTTGTTGCTTGTGGGCGGGGAGGGTGCGACTCCAAACTTAGGCCATAAAAAACCGCAAACTTTCAGACCTAAGCCCAAAAGCCAAAGCGCCAAAGTCTACATTCCGGGTCTTGGGAGCTGCAATGTTTCTGAATTCCCCCCGACAAAGCCTCCTCGAGAAGTTTGGCCACTGCGAACATAGCAAGCATCCCTCAAATCAAGCGTCGTTTTCTCTGTCAGAATCAGTTGTCCAAACTGCCTTTACTGCAGACCCCCGTCCAAAGGAGGCTTGCCGGCTTACCGCTTACCACCATCTTCGTCAAGTCTAAGCTACCGGATCCTGCGCAATCCGCCTACATGAGACCCATGAAGGACCAGCCGCCTTGCGACAGATGGCCGAAGCTCCAAACCCCCCCCACCCCCAAACGACACAACAACGGAAAGTAAGAACAACCCTAAACCCTAAACCCTAAACCCTAAACCCTAAACCCTAAACCCTAAACCCTAAACCCTAAACCCTAAACCCTAAACCCTAAACCCTAAACCGGAGAGGCTATCTTTCCCCGAGCATGGGTTTGAAGTTCGCTGACGTGCCCAACGGCCTCGCCGCGATCTCCAAGGCTGGGAAGCGAAGTCCGAAAGCCCAAACGACCCCAGGGCGGCAGATTTTAGGGTTTAGGGTTTAGGGTTTAGGGTTTAGGGTTTAGGGTTCCCAAAACAAGCCCATATCCCAAACCTTGCAATCGCTGCAACCTGAAGCCCTGCAAACCCAACCTTAAAACCTGAAGCCCGGCTTAAATTCACTGATGCACCAGAATCCGAATCCCAACAACGCCCTGAATCCTGTAATTCCTGTACCCCCTCTCCCCCAACGAATCACTGAACCCCCAAGCGCGGGGAACCCGAGGTGCCGGCTGGCGGCTGGACTCAGATCCTGCATCTCAGCTCCCAAGTTGTCCCCACCTCGCTCCGAAGAGCCGGCACCCAAAAAATGCTTCGAAGGAGCCGGCGTTTCTGCGTTTCTTTCAAAGTGAAAGATTCCTTGGGCATGGCAGGCCAGTGCAAGGAGGATGCTTTTGGTTGTTTAGGGGGTGTGTACTTGGATCCCTTAGATTCTGATGAAACATATCATCGCCGGTGGTACGCGTTCTCGGTTAAGCCTTCAATAAGTTGTTTGCAGTATGGAACGGGAGAGAGAGGGGGAGATGCGGAACCAGGTTCAGGTCTTGTCGAGGAAGGCTGGCAGAAGAGGACTATGCCGAAGGCTTTATGACGAAGCTTGATTGGTAGTCGGGGGTACCCTCAAAGCATCTGTTCTCTCCAGCAGTCGTCGTACCAGTACAGCAGCCGCCATAAGGGACCCCGACATAGAAAAACCATTGCACTCTCTTCGATTTTTTTTTTGCTCGGATCCGGCTCCTTAGCAAGCTCCGAAACGACGCATCCCCAACCTAAAACCCCGGAGACCTGCGCCGAAAAGCTTGTAAAGCCTAGACAAGGCGATGGCATCCGGAGACGAATACGGAGCCCAAAAAAGGCCCACTTTCAGATGGGCAGTAGCCAGTCATGATGCCTTTTGGGGCTCTGTCTTCGTTGTTGGTGGAGGGCAAGAAATCCTGCAAGTCTCAACCCTGAACCCTAAACCCTAAACCCCAGAAAAGGCCACTGCACTTTAAAACGAACCCTAAACCCTAAACCCAAGAGAGTCCCGGAGCAGCCCAGGCTTTACATGGGCTGGTGCGAGGTGTCCAGGGGTGCAGGCACGGGACCGTTACTTCAATTTCGAAGGAACAGCTGAACAGCTTCAGACTGCGATGGTTCACATCGTTGTTTCTGTTACAGGTCGTTTCCATGTCAATGTGTTCTTGCCACTGTGTCCCTAAACCCTAAACCCTAAACCCTAAACCCTAAACCCTAAACCCTAAACCCTAAACCCTAAACCCTAAACCAAGAAGCGTAAAGGGGGTATTCGGGCGGACGGATTTTGGCACGCTTCCGGCCCTAGACCTGAGGCTGAAACCACCCAAACCCAGTCTTGCATGGAATGTTCAGCGGTTTCCCAGAGCCGGAGTGGGATTGAAACTAGAGGGTGTCAGCCGGAAAAGGACAAGATGCTGGGTTGCAGGATGCGGATTTCTGGAGATGTTTCTGAGAGAACCTGATGTGGATCTGGAGCCACTTGAGCATACACTTCTCGATGTTGGTTCGGGCAGACGGGAAAGAATGTTGAAACAACAGGCAACCTCCTCGGCCAAGCCCCTAAACCCTTGATGTCTAAACCCTGAATCCCAAACTCCGACGGCCTGTGCTGAAAGCTTGCTGCCCGCAGGCTCTGACATCGCTAGCGGCCGTCCGGGAGACTTCGGCTGGTACGTCGGGGGCCCGTCTGCTTGCGTGTCTTCGATCGCTTCGGACTTCACAGCTCGAGGTTTTCGCGGTTCTGTGCTTCATGATGATTTTAAGGTTTCGGTGTTCGAATGACATGGTTAGGTTTAGGGTTCAGGGCTCAGGGAGGAGTCCTTGGCTTCGCTTGGCTTTCCAAGAGCCTCCCAGGTCCTGACCAGCGCCGACCCAGAGGCTTTGCGGCTGGTTGGGTGTTTTGGAGTCTAGGAGTTTGGGTTTTGGGTTTCGGGTTTCGGGTTTAGGGTGCTTTGGAGTCTAGGAGTTTGGGTGTTTGGGTCTTTGGGTGTTTTGGAGTCTGGGAGTTTGGGTTTCTGGTGTGTCGGTCGACGGCTTCGAGTTTTTCCGGTTGTTGTTTTATTATGAAAGGGGGCAACAGCCAGTGCTTTTATCATTATCATCATCATCGTCGTCATCATCATCATCAGAAGCAGCAGTAGCATTAGGTTTAGATGTAGCTGCATCAGTAACAACAGTAATTAGCAGGTGCCAGTACCGAATGGAGTGTTGCGGCGACTGGCTTTTGTCACACCATTGCAAACTAGAAGCAGTAACAGCAGTAAGAGGACAAGACGAGCAACAACACTAGAGGCAACAGCTGCAAAGAGGTCGCTGCATAGTAATGGCAAGTCCCGGAGGAGAAGAAGAAGAAGCTCAATGCTGAGTTGGCGAACCTCGCCGGAGCAGCCGTCGGTGGGATGAGCCGCATTTCTTAGCCGTAGCCTAGAGCTTCAGGTCCCCCATTCTGAATCCTGGGGTTCCAGGGCCAGGGTCTATGGCTCCGGGCCGTTGGGGTGTGCTTCTCAGGGTGCAGGGTGTACGAGTTACGGGTTCGCCAAGGATGTAGGCAGGTGATTTCCAGTCTGCAAGAGGTACGGGCAATGTGAGGACTCCCTCGCGAGTGTGAGCATTGGTTTTTCGGGTGCAGGGGTTGCAGAGCAGCGCGTACTTCTGGAGTTTGCCGTGTCCTCGTTTTATTTGGCCTTGGAAAATTTCTCAGGTCGCACCATGCGAAGATTGCTTGAAGGTCGCAGCAGCCCTGAAATCCTAGTTTAGGAAACCCTGCAGCCGAAACTTGAACGCTTCATAGTTTTAAACCCAAACTCCAAATCGTAATTCTCGGAACATCAAATTACTCTGAACCCTGAACTCTAAACCCCGAGCTCACCAAACCTGTTGACCCTGAAAAGGTGTGGTGCTAGACTCCAGCCCTCTGCAGTTCCCGAATACTCAGCTGTTAAGCTTTCTGGGTTCTTGCACCGTTGGCAGTGACTGTGATCTTGTGACAATGATGATGACTAAAGCCTTCGTCTCGCTTCGGGAATTAAAGCGAAAACCCAACTGCTGGAGAAGCTTAGGAATGGTCGCCTGGCAATGATGGCCATCATCGGCATGCGTTTTGGCTGCGAGCCGGTTCAAGTAATTGTGCTGCTGCCAGTAATGCGGCGAACCGTACTGTGCAAATCTTGGGTTGGCGCTTTCTGTTCCTTCTTGCCACTGTTCTGACGATGGTTCGTGCTCGTTTAGATCTTCTCGGACCCCCGAAATCTCGTCTCCACCCCGGACCTAATCGGGCACGCTAAGCTGAACTCTTACGCCGCCAAGCTCTGACGCGTCGTACAAGCCTGAAAAAGCAGAGAGGCTGCAGTCACAATCGGAAAGACATGATCTGCGCACACCGGGAAGTAGGTGCATCATCGCGGAAACGTGGCCCCCCCCAGGAGCTAGAAAGGGGGCTCCGAACCCCCGGTAAAGGCAGTGTGGAGTTGCTGTCCTCCAGGTTTTACCAGGACGGCCTCACTGGTTCAGCCTGGGGTTGCTCGGTGGCAGATCCGGATTTAACGGCTAGCACACTTAGGGTTTAGACTGTCGGTTCAGAAGGTTTAGGGTGTAGGATAGTGCTAATGAGGGGTTTATTGTTTGGGATGCGCGTGTGGGGTTTTCAGTTTAGCAGGGCTGTGTCAATATTCGGGTTGAAGATATACGTACGCGCTCCTGTCTCCAAAAGACTGTTCAGAAAGCAGCTCAGACGCCGAACACGGTCAACATCGGTGTTCGTAGGTTTGAGGTGTCTGTTGCGGCTGCAGGGTCCCATTTAAGGCTTACAGCTTCAGGCTTTGGGGCTTCGGAGCTTTCGAAGGGTTGCAGCCCTGAGCCTTCAAAACCCCCAACCTGATAAAAAAAAAAAAACATCGCTCCAACATTCCGGATTGTCGCTGAAGCCTAGAGTCTCGTAGCTTTGATCCCTAAGCTCAGGTGACTGGGCGAACTTCACCGAGTCTCCGCTGCGCGCCTCCGCCCCTGACTTCTCTGCGGAGCCGCTGGGGGAGCAGGGCTGTGTTTAGATCCGTTTGTTTTGAGAGGGTTTTGTATCACAATGTAATCTTGCGAATAGTACTACCACTTTGTTCAAAACTCTTTTTCACGAATCAAAACGCACAGAGCGCAAAGGCACAAAACCGACATTCTTAACTCCTGAAGCTGTGCAACTCCAGCCAGCAGCACGAATCCCGGAACCTCCCGTTGGAAAACCCCAAACCCCTGCCCCAAGAGAAAAAGCGAAACCCCAAACCCCTAGCACCTTGGAGTCTAAACGACTAAAACCCGAAACCAAAGACCCCCGAAAGCAAAGAACCGTAAAAAGCCCAACACCGCAGGAGCTGGGTGTGACTCCGCCTCTGGGATTCTTCGACCCACTTGGCCTTAGCAAGTTTGACAACCCCGAGGCCTGCCTTTGGGCTCCAGGGGTTTAGGGCCAACCCAGAGTCTCTTAAGCACAGGAGATGGAAGATGAGTGGCCACTGAAGTTGTGAAGCCATGAGCAGATAAGGGACCTTGCCTAAATCTTCGCCCAATGATATATAGAGCACTCCCAACAAACCATTCCACAACAGCTGTGCTCATGATTTTCGACCAAGCCCCTTATCCGCAGTTTGCTTGGCTCAGCGTGATTGCTAAAAACCTTGGGCAGAGTTTGCTGGCTTGTCAGCAGGAAATGTGCGGGACAAGAGCATGCATCATCACGTGGGCCATGAGCTTTTTTGTTGACGTCCGCGAGGTCTTCGCACAGGAGCACTACTACCAAAGACAATTCTTCAGCGATGCTGCATGCAACACTCTCACCTCGGAAGATCGGAAACTCCCGCTCTACTCTGAGAGTTGTTATTCTTGGGAGAATTTTCCACACTTGGGTGGGGGGACGGTCTACGGCATGGTCATTTGTGAGGATGGCTTCACTAAGGCATACAGCTATAGCGACTCGACATGCACGGGCGAGAAGGGGGGGCTCGACGAATATCGAGGTGGTGGTCAACAACAACAAGACACTCCAACAGTGGAGCTCTACAAGTGCGAGGCCAACCCGTCTGCGGACAGCCAGACCGCCCCAGATGCCTACATCATGTGGATCGCCAACTCCACCCTATGTGCGGCAACAATGACCACCACCACGACCACGACCACGACCACGACCACGACGACGACCGCGACCACGACCACCACCACGACCACGACCACCACCACCACCACCACCACCACAACAACAACCACCACAACGCAAGATGGGAGCGGATCCAATGGAGACAGCAACAACACAGGCTCCGATGGGAGCGGAGCCGATGGGGACAGCGAATCCCAAGGGAACAGCACAACTAGTGGCTCAGGCGACGCCATGACGTCATCAGGAGCTACAGGCCCCGTTTGCCTTGCTTCTGTGGTGTTGATGGGGTTCCCTTAATAAAGGAAGATCTTCAAGTAATCTTGAGAATATATGAGGGGTATCTATTCTGGGGGGAACCCCTCTAACAGGGGGTGCAACCTTCAGAGTCCGAGCCAGAACCCCTTGAGGCATGGAGTCCAGGGTTTTGAGGGCTTAAAAAAGAGGTGGCAAAAAGACATCCGGACCCCCAGCCAGAGCAAGGTCTGTTTAAGGTCCCAGCCCTGACCTCTAAGCCCTATTACACCACCCTCAGGCGTGCACTACAGCTTCGCCTTCGTTGGTTTTAGCTTCATCGCCAGCGCCTGCCTCATCTGAGAACAGGAGATGAGGGGACAAGCTTTCAATTTTCAATGCTCGGAGCCTGGATGACTCCCCGGCAGTGCCTTCTTTCATCAGCCATCGACTTTTCATATCTTGACAGGCTTGAAGCCTCAACCTGCAAAATCTAAGCCACCCCCGTTCACCTCCTTTTTGCAAAAGCCGCTGATTAGAAGATGGCGCCACTGGCACACGTGCACAACGACGCACCAGTCAGCCTAATCCCTTCCCCATTATCATAAACACTGCCTCAGTAATAATCGTAGGTTTGACCTCCACATGGACTCCGAGGGCTAATTCGGGTTCAAAAGATATATTTCGAGGATCGGAGGATTTGTGAGGTGAGCAGGGTCACGGGGCAGACCTCCTACTACTACTACTACTACTACTACTACTACTACTACTACTACTACGGTGTCCCCCCCTGGTGCGGCACCCGGTCGCTCACTTCGTAGATGTTCCACATGTTGAATGAGAGCTGTCGCGGTCCAA